CATTCAAAAGGGTCTGCCTACCCTTAATGGGGTGTGAGATTTGACAATAAAAGCACTATTGGTTTTAGAGAATGTGTCTTAGAAATATTAGATGCTAATTGAAAAGTCATTTCAGGAAATATTCAAGCAAGAGGTATCTGCCCCTACTACATAGAGATTGAATCATGACGGTTTGCTAAAAAATGTATTACCCTTCCTTGTAATAAGGATTTGAATGTTAACTCAAATTTCTCATGCTTGCCCCAAATTTGGAATGCATCAATTTTTAGTTTTTTTTGTTTGCCTCTTTTGCCCCTAGTTTAGAATTTTGAGGTTCATCTTCTTTTTTTTCTCTTTTTTTATAATCTAGGGTGCTTGCACTTGATTTCGTCATTGTCAGCAAAAAAAGGTCGACCTAAGGTTAACTTGCTAATCTCTCAAAGATTAATGAGGTCATATTAGATTGTCGAAACGTGGCTTAGGACAAGGTTCAGAACTGAAATATAAGAGGCTCAAAATATTCTTTTGATATAGGTTTTAGATGCTTGAATTTACAAATAGGGCATGGGCACTTTTTTCTTTCCTTCTTTCTTTTCCTTTTGGATAAGAAATACTTTTCATGTCTTTCAATGCCATGAGACATACATCTTTCTTAATCCAAGAGGACTTTATGTTGGGGGTGAAGGGTAAGGTGGGGACAAAGTGAAATAAGAGAATTGATGTTTAGCCTTAGTAGCTTAATTGCCTCGACTTGTCATTTTTTTTTCTTCTTCTATTTTGTTTTTTTTTTTTTTTTTGAAACCACACTTTGTTGCCCCAGTTTTTACTTTTGACTTTATTTCTTCTTTTTTTTTACTTGGTGTAAGGACATTTGAACATACATCTTTTTAAACAAGGGTTTAGTTAAAGAATAGACTCAAAGGGTTGGTTGGTGGATTAATGACAAGGTAATATGACCAATAGATGGTCTCCCATCATTTCTTGATTGCATGCATGACTCCTCCTGACTTTATTTCTTCTTTTTTATTTTGACTTGGTGTAAGGGCATTTGAACATTTGACATTTCTTTAAACAAGGGTTTAGTTAAAGAATAGACTCAAAGGGTTGGTCGATGGATTAATGACAAGGTAATATGACCAATAGATGGCTTCTCGTCATTTCTTGATTGTATGCATGATTCATGAAATGAAATACATGTTAAGCTTGTACCCTATTGACCGTTTAAGGGAGAATTATTACTTTTGAAAATGTTGGAGCCCTTTAGTGAGTTTTCCCCTAGTTCTTTTTGCTGATTTTTTATGCTTTTTTTTCTTTTGATTTTTTTGCCCTTTTAATTTATGCATCCTTGGAAATTTTTGGGTTTTATCAAAAAATGGTTTCGATGAAAGGCTTAAACGGGCTGACTATCATTTGAATGAATGATAAGGGACTAAGGAAAATGATCAGTCGAAGATGGCCTCTAGTTCTTCTTTGATCAATCAACAATTGATAGTGGTTTTGATGCCTTGATTTATGCTAACCCAAGAGTAGATGTTGCAAGTTGACTCAATTGCCCTTACGCTTTCAGTGAATTTCCACTTTTTTGAATATTTCCTTCTTTGTATTTCCTCTTGACAACCAATTTTTTATATTGATGGGACTTGTTGCAAATTTTTTATCATCAAATCTAGACATGTTGGAAGGATAAATTGGAGCAAGTTGAATTTGTTGTTTGATCAGAAGTAAGCATTGGGATACAAACATAGATTGACAAAAAATAAACTTTAATCATGTAAAAAAAGAAAAACTGAGTACACTGAGCTTTAAGGCACAAAGAAAACAACATTCAATGCAAATGTGCTTTAGGCGGCAACATGCCCAAAAATTTGAGCGTAGGGTTGTATTGGCCGTCATCATTGAAGCGTTAGATATCATATTTCAATTGCCAGAATTCATTAGTCTCATGTCTTGGTCCTTGAAGGTAGGCACAATAACCCTTTTGGTTGAGATTCCTTGGATCTATAGGAGGTTTCCAAGGCAACAAATAAATGTATCATTTTTCGACCAAGATGGGAAAATGTTGGAAAGGTTGTCAAGGTAATGGACTGAACTTTTTCACTTCTATCTTGGATGGTGTAAGATTTGAGACAAAAGCTAGTGGTGTTGCTCCTGTATGAGAAATTAGCCAATTAACTTGAAGGTTAACAGGTTCATCGCTGTTTGAAGCTCTTCGATCTCTTATTAGATTCTGAATTGATCTCTAGTAGGTGTGGTCATCTTTCCTGTTGGGAACATTAGACTTTAAATGGAATGCAAACATGCATGGAAGGAATGTTAGTGAAGTTGTGTATAATATGTGTGCATGCAATGTAGAGATGATGCAATAAATACCTAGATTATAGAGGTTGGTACCTAGAGGGTGTTTAGGTAGAAAGCCTAGGGTTTTTAGGAGAGAATGCTAAAAGGTGTTTATTTGAGAGTCCTAAGGTCTTACTTTTATTTGATTATCCGAGTTGCACCTAAGTGCCACTTTCCAGGCTGCTTATGTACTCTTTGTGAGGGATCAAACCAATTGTAGTTCTTGAAAGCTTATAGACTTGATTACATATTTTAGTGATGATTTAAGGGATATTGTTTGACATCAATGAGATCTTGGATGTTGATTTGGAGAATTATGCAATTGTTCATCGAATGCCCTGATCCTTGGTGATAAGTGCAATACTCGTCTAACCTAAAGCTCTTAGGTAGAGGGTTAGGAATTGGTTTTGGTGACAAAAGTGCTAGATACACATTCTCGATCAGTTGAGGAAGCAATTGAGACTGCGGAGGGAGAGGAGTGAATCATCTCTTGACTCATTTTTTGAAAGGATCAGTTAAAGTTCAACTTTTTTATGTTGAAGAGGAAGGTTGATATATGGTGGCAACTACAGCAGGTTTAAAAAACCAAAACCCAAAGATACTCCTATTTAAAGTTTGGAAAGACAAAACAACATTATGGTTGAGTTAAATTTACATTTTATGCCATTGGGATTCCCAAATATGATCTCTCACTATAAGAAAAACGGTCAAAGGCGGGTGGTTTAGTGACCGCCGCTATAGACACCTACATTTTTTTTTAAACTGGCGCAGCGGTTATTAATGTACATTTGGCATATTATTTTGTGAACCGGAATTAAACCGGTTTAACCTTATAATGGACCGGTGCGGAGAAATGGAGGAGGGAAAAATTTCTTTCTCCCACACGCGAATTCTCCCCTATGAAAGAATTATGGATGTATATCATATGGACTTTTCTGTTCCACCAAAAAAAGAATTTCTGTCCATAGAGAACCTTGCTGAGAATTTTACAAGACAGACTTCACGAGCAAGACAGCAGTTCTCTGGTTTCCAGCAGAGATATTTTGAAGAATAAGACAAGTTATTCTTCACTAGCAAGAAAGTTGGGAAGGTTCGTTCGAGGTTGCGTTCGTTCGAGCAAGAGAAGAGAAGAGAACGTTCGTTTGAGGTTGTGTTCGTTCGAGCAAGAGAAGAAAAGAGAAGAGGAGTAAAGAAATTTAACTTCTCTATAGGCATTTCTGGAGAATTGGAGCTAGCATACATTGTACTTTGGTAGATTCAAGCAGGACCTCCACTGGATGAGATGTCTATAGCATGCATTTTGCGCGACTTGCTACATGCCATCGAATACCTCCATAATGAAGGAAAGATTCACAGAGATATTGAAGGTCATATACCAATTTCAAATTCTCTTTAGCAAATTATTTTTTGATGTTCAGTAAAGTAGTATTTGTGATTCCNCTCTTTAGCAAATTATTTTTTGATGTTCAGTAAAGTAGTATTTGTGATTCCTTATTCTGTTCTTGTTTTAGATTCAAACATGCAGTCTTATCTTCTTTTAACCATTTTCTTTAATGACACCCCTCCTACAATCATTTTGGCAGCTGCAAACATTTTATTGACAGAGAATGGAGATGTTAAGGTATGCCTTTTTGTCTAAACAAAGCCAAAATCATTAATCCTGGCTGGCATGGAAAAATTATATGATGTTTAGCATGGATGATTCTAGTTACTTAATCTTATTTCTCAAATGTGTAATAGGTTGCTGATTTTGGTGTTTCTGCACAACTAACAAGGACAATCTCGAGAAGAAAGGTCATGCTATTTCCATGCTTTGATAAATATAACAGGATTAGAGTTTTCTGGCATTTCCTTTACTATGTTATGGAACATCTATTTTATTTATGATAAGATGGGAATGTTTAATAATTTATGTGTAGCAATCAACTCTTTGTACTAATAAATTTAAGCTCTGGCAGACATTTGTAGGAGCACCATTCTGGATGGCTCCAGAAGTAATTTAAAATTCAGATGGATACAATGAGAAGGTAAGTGTCAGAAGGGTTGTCTATTTTATTTGCTTCACTGAACCTTGGTCCACTTGTTTCCTGCATTTGGATTCTACTTGATGCAGGCTGATATCTGGTCTTTGGGGATAACTGCAATTGAAATGGCCAAAGGGGAACCTCCACTTGCAGATCTCCACCCAATGAGGGTTCTTTTCATCATTCCTCGAGAAAACCCCTCTGAGGTTTGTTTTCTTTGATGTATCAAATAGACTGCTGCTGTTGTTTAACTTTAGAAAATGAATCAATGAATCTTCTTTTTTTTTTTTTGCCATATAACCATTCTGACTTTCCGAGGTAGCTTAGGATTAAGGCTTTGTTGAGTAGAGTTACTTTTTCCATATGGAAAAGTCATTTTTCATTGTTTTGAAGGGTGGTGATTTTGTTTGTGTTGTGCAGCTGGATGAACATTTTTCCCGTCCTATGAAAGAATTTGTTTCCCTGTGTTTGAAGAAGGTGCCTTCTGAGGTATCTAATTATACTTTTTAATATATTTTTTGTTTTTTTGGTGAAAAGTTTTAGGTGCAGTGGGCATGGCTGTTTTGTACTAAGTACATATTTTTCTTGCAGCCACATGATGGATATGGAATTATGGATGTATATCATATGGACTTTTCAATCATTTAATAGCAATTATATGCATGGATAGTCCAAGTAATGTTCTTTTTTTGGTCTGGGACTCTGGGTTGGCATGGTATAATTTGGACACATGTATTATGGTTGTGCCATGCATGTTGGAGACTTTCTAATTGCATAGTTGAAATTAGAACATGAGCTCTTAAGGAATAACTGTACGTTGCAATCTCTGAAGTGGTTGAGATCAATTGTACATTTAAATTCACATATATTTAATTTAAAATAATACATGTATAACAGGTGTGCCATGTTCTGAAATTCAGTGGTACTAGAGACATTTCTCCTTCACATATCAAATATATGATACTACAGTTGGACAAAAAAAATCAGTTATCTAATATTTCTTTACTATTTTTTCAATATGTTATTTATGAAATCCTCTTTTGCACATCATTTTGTTTCAAGTACATCCTATGAAAAGAACAATATTTGTGGGTCCACATTTTATTTCAAATGACACCTATGGAAAGAACAAGTGCAAAGGTTTTCCATCTTTTTATGGACAAGGTATATGACCTTTCAGCCAAGTATGCCCTGAATGCATATGATATTTTTTAAATGACTGGATCCAGTACTATTACTTGGGCATCTTTTGATTTACTTAGAATATGCCTATCTATGTTCTGTATGTTACTGTAAATCTGTAATGGGTGTTTTAAAGTCTTCCAGTCTTTTGGCCTAGTGGAACTACTGTATCAATAAGCAGCTCTATTTTTTATCATATATCAACCAGATAACATGCCTACGAAGTTTTTTTATGGATAATGAAACCTTGTTAAATGCTCATTCATTATTAAGGTGTAATCTAAAATTCTAATTTTATATCTTTTACTGTCTTCATTTCAGAGACCAAGTGCTAAGGAACTTCTAAAGCATCGTTTTATCAAGAATGCTAGAAAAAGCCCCAGGCTATTGGAAAGAATAAGGTGAATGAGTTCTTTTGCAATTAGTGATTTCCATAACATGTATTTTGCAATTAGTGAATGAGTTCTTTTGCAATTGACTTTTGCAATTAGTGATTTCCAACCTACCCACAGCTGCTCCTAAATTTTTTTGTTTTATGTTATTTTCTTCCAAGTCTTCTAGGTTTATAAAAGTGGAGAAGCAAAACCCACTTTCTCTACATGGTAGGCATGGCAATATGGAATGCCTGCTTTACTTCTTTGGCTCTCTTTCTTTATAATAAAAGTTTCTATAAATATAATTAATACCCTCAACAGATTTTTAATTGATGATAATACGCAACATCTACCTAGTTATTAATATGGGTCCAACTTGTTGGTATGGTGGGTAATCGGGTCCACTTTGATAAACCCTAGATTTGAGAAAGAATTTGGATGCATGACTACATGCCAATTAAGGGTGGGTGGGTGTTGAATTAAAAATTAAAACAGAGAAGCAAGTTTTTCTTCTTTTTTTGCTTCTTTAAAAAAGAAGAAAAAACACCTTTTAAGGTGATGTTTGGAACCAATGCTGTTTCCTGAGAAGAGTTTTTTTTTTTTTTTTTTTCCAGAAAACAGTGCTACATAGACATACTGTTTTCTCAAATTATATTTTATCCAAGTTTTATCTAATAACCAAAAACTTCTGTGAAAAAGCTTATCTCATTTATTTTGCTCTGTTGGAAGATTTATTACCTACTTTGATTGCTCAACTGTTGAGATTTGCCATTCCATTTACTTCCCCATATAGGAAGTTTTCACTTTTCGATTTTCAGTTTTTAATTGTCATCTTCTCCCTCCCATTGACTTGCAGGTTTTATTTGCAGTAAGAAAAGAACACAGGCGTCCCTATCAAATGGCTTGCTAATCCTACATCTTCACATGACTAGAAGTTAGAAAACCTTGCTGGGTTTTCAACTCCAAAGTCCAGATTGGGAATCCAGGAGAAGTCTTTGAGTGCATCACTTGAAGATAGTGCAACAAACCTTGCAGAGGTTGTTATCTTTTCTATGTTATGCACAATCTATATTGTGTAATAGTTTAGGTAAATAGCTCCCCATCTGTTATGTGTTTCAGGCAAAGGCTGCTATTCAAGGCAGATTAAGGAAATCAAATGCATAGGAGAGGCCTGTACTGGGCAAACTCAATAAAGATATGGAAGTATGGTATAAGCATATTATATGGATACCTGCATCCTTATTCATGTCTCGGATTTTAGGAAATTTATAGTTACATCCCCTTTTCCCATACCCATGTCTGTGTCAGTATTTGTATCTGGTTATCATAGGGGTGGCTGAATTTAAATAAAGTGGTTCCTTTGGAGTTCAGACATGCTTTAAGGTAAGATAAATTCTTCTCCACTAACCTGAATATCTCATCAAGTGGTTTACAAGGGCAGAAAATGCCCTGGCCAATACATATGCAAGGGAAGGGGTAAATAGGACTGAATTATATGTGGGGCCTGCCAATCAAGGTTGGGCAGTATTATTTAATTTAAAGTTTTAGGGGAGAAGCTAGTGGCTCTGGATGTGGTATTTTATACTTATGTACTATCTTTAAATTTTTCATAAAAACATTTCTGATTGTTAATGATAAAAAATTACGAATTACAGGGACACCTATAAGTGCAAGGGAAGAGGATCAAATCCATACATCTAGTGTTTCTATAATTGATTGTCTGTAGGACAATCTCAAAGAATAAGAGTACTGGTTCTATGGCATGGTCAGCATGCACATGTTGGAAAGTATCTCCTGCTTTTGGACCACAAATGCTGCATTGCACTCAACATCTTCAATTATACTACCTTCCCCTAAGCCACTGCAGTTTTCACCAACCTACCAGCGTACTAAGCCCATGCAGCCATAGGTTCCTGTTCTGCTTCTAACTGATCCCATTTTCCCGAAGTTCTGAAGAAAAAACTCCATTTTCCCATCTCCATTCTTATTGAAAAAGGATTTTCCCACCTTCTCCAACTCTGGTACCTCCTTGCTAGATTACAACAGATCACCTCTTGTCAGAAGTAGAATAGCCTTTTTTGGGGTCCTTTTTAATTATTCTTTTCCAAGGTAACCTCACAATCTCTCACCCTCCCCTAAACCTCCTACCGTCAAAGCAGATAGAACAACAACCTAAATTAGCAAGATTTAAAATGCTAAAGACAAGGAGGTCTCATGGTTGCCCTTAGTTAGTGCTGGACTGACTTCTAGGAAGGGTTTCCACCATGTTAAGAGGGCCTAGGGGAGGAGGAAGTATCCACCATTTTGGGATAGGTGGCACATGACTCCTTTCCCTTTGGGTTGGTCAACAAGTTTCTAATGGTGCTACACCTTAGGGGAGATATAGAGGGGCTGTGGATCTTCTTCCAACTCCTTACTTCCATTGAAAGTAGCAGATGCTTTGGGCACTACATTGCAATGTCAGAGTGGTTGACCACTTTCTCCACCAGAGATCCAACACTCTCCATCATTTTCCATCACACTTCTCATGCTGCCAATGGTATAATGATAAGGTTGACAAACTCCCTTGTGATCTGTATAGTCTCATCTGAGTGGGGTTAAATAAAGATTACCTCATTCCAAGATCTTTAATATCTGAATACCATAGCCTTCCCATTCACTGGATGTATTACTTCTCATTCCTAGTGTTACCAGGAAAAGAGTCAAATCACCAGGTTCTGATTTACAATTTTCAGGATGAGGAAAATATTATTGCAATTTGTTGGTTATCACAACACTTGAGTTCTTATTATCGTACATTCTAGGATAATTTCTTCAACTTCTCCTATGATTTTCTCATTCCTTTTGTTAGGATTATGAGTATTATTTTCTGTCCCTAATCTTTCTCTCCTGTCAAGGGGTAATTCTTCTATTGGCTTGAGAGGAAAATAATTCATCTAATTAAGGGAATACATGTTTCTGATTCTGTAAATTGACCTTCTTTCTTACATTGAATTTTTTTATTAGTTCTTTCTTACAATTTGTTCCCTAAAAGAAAAGCATTTCCATTTTAGGGTGGTTCTACAATTTGTACATGAGATGCAACAGAAAGCACAGAGGAATTTTGATGCCAGCAGAGATAGATCTTTGCCAATGTTTGGTGTTGGAGTTGCTTTTATTGATGAAACTGTTATTTCTTCTATTCCTTCTCATGAATATGAAAAAGCAATTCAAGATATCAGATTGATTGTGTCGAATTTAGCTCCACCAGAAAAATAGCTGCATATTGTACCCTTTGAGAATATCTATTCTTTAGATTCCAAGGGTGAAACAAGTAGGCTGAAGGAATTGTTGCATGCCATTGATGATGACACTGGGAAAGAAGATCTTGTGCACCATTTGCGTATGATGTCCTTACAAAAGGTTCAGTTTACTTCTTAGATCATTTGCATATTTAGAATAATGAATAGGAGCCTGTTTTTTCATGGAACCTTTTCTTTTTATCTTCTTGACAGATTGCTCTTGATGATGACACTGGGAAAGAAGATCTTGTGCACCATTTGCGTATGATGTCCTTACAAAAGGTTCAGTTTACTTCTTAGATCATTTGCATATTTAGAATAATGAATAGGAGCCTGTTTTTTCATGGAACCTTTTCTTTTTATCTTCTTGACAGATTGCTCTTGACAATGGCTACAACAAATTGGTTTTAGGATCATGTGCATCAAGAATTGCTTGCCATGTCATTTCAGCAACTGTAAAGGTTCGCTATCAATTTATATATAGTTCATAAATTTTCCTTGACTTGGAAGTATCAAGCTCCTTCATTTGATTATTATAAAACTGTAATTAAAAGCTCTATTTGCAGGAAAACTGCAATTGACCAAGTGAAAACGGTTGCATTACCTTATGCTATTTCACTAATCCATTTAACCAATGTGCAGAAGAAATTAATTTGTAAAATTTCTCTATTATTTGTAAAATGAAATATTTTTTCTGATTCAAATTCTTGTCTTCTTTCCTTTTCAAAAGGAAAAGAAAAGATTGTCTTCATTGTTTTCTTCTTCAGCCACAGGGAAGAGGAACAGCATAAGGTGGTAGGTGCACAGGGAGCATCAGAGTTTTGCTCAGAGGTTGAAGTGTTGAGCTGTGCACAACACAGAAATTTGGTTATTCTGGTTGGCTATTGCATTGAAAAGGAGTGGCTTCTTGTATAGGAATTTGCTTGTAATGGTTCCTTGCACAATCACTTGTATGGTAAGCTAGCAATGCCACTGTTATATTCATTACTACTACTTTATGAAGCAACAGTAGTTCAACTCAACTAGTACATTATTAATAGGTGACTGATGTTCTTCATAAAGTTAATATTAAACTAATCTCAAGATTGGATGCAATTATCTACTTTGATGCACATGGTTAAAACACTGAAGGTATTTTGTAGGTACTTAGCCCTAGAGTACATGCAGACTGGGTTAATCACAGAAAAAGCTGATGTGTACGCATTTGGAGTTGTGTTACTGGAACTCTTAAGTGGCCTAAAGGCAACTGATTTGATGAGAAGTGAAGAAGAACATTATCTTTCTGAATGGGTGAGTTTCTCTTTAATCCTCCCCCCAAAACCCCAGGTAACAATATTGATTAACATGCAAAAGGAAAGACAAACAAGAAAGACCAGGACAAAAGTCATTCAACTGAATACCCCTGAGACACAAAATCCCTCCCAACAGTAATCAATCAAAAATATAAAATCTGGATCCAATGCTATGGAAGTAAGCTGAATGTAATATTCTCTGTTCGAATTTATAATTAAATTAATATGATCAAACTAGAGAGATGCAGTGGACCATTCTCTGTTCTTGAACTTGATAGCTTGTCTGACTTTTGAGCATTATTCTTGGTTGTGGAATTGGATATCTTTTGCCTTTTCTATTAGTGTATAGGTTGCCCTGGACTCGATGGTATGTACACTAATTAGAAGGGGGAGAATGGCTGCCATGGTGAGGATTTTAGAAACTAGAAATTTCTCAGAAATTACAGCAGGTACCATAGGAACCTTGTACTTGGATATCTATGTTTCTAAGAGTATGTTTTGTGTGGTTTCTTTGTGTAACATGAAAATGACCAACACACAAAACTCATCAGCTTCCTAACATATACTACTCACAAAGACCAAACTGTCACAGCCAAGCAAGCTAAGACCAATCTGAAACTTCTTAACAGACTCTGATCCCACCCTCAATATTCCAAATCATCAGATAAATCAACTATAGCCTGCAACATGGATTCCTCCGGAATGGTATCAATCTATCAGAATTTTTAGTTCTTACTAACTTCTAATTCCATAAAAAATGATTTTGGCAAAATCCTCAATCCCAAGAAGAACAAACCCAGGCTCTAGCTGATTTTAACTTATATATGATTTATTCTTAACCTGACCATCTCCTTCCAAGCACTATTATTAATCTTATTCTGCCCCTTCTAAATTGGCGGTTTTACCTGGAACCGAATGGGGCCAACTTTGGACTAGCCTCGAACCAACCCTGTCCAATTTGTTTCCGGGTAGGTTCTGGTTCCAAGAACTATATAAACTATATAAACTATATAAACTAAATAGGGATGAGCAAAGAATTATATAAACTAAATAGGGGTGAGCAAAGAACTATACTATTTTGTACTTACAGGCATTTTCTTTTTTTGAATTATAATGACTTAGTAAGTGCTTCATATCAAAATAGTAAGCCAATTATCCAATCACGAATTTCCTGTTGGCTTTTAGAAAAATATTTAAAAAAAATGATGGTTTAATGAAATATTGAAAAAATTTTTAATAACATTACAAAATTTTAAACCTTAAATATATATATATATATATATATATATATATATATATATATATCAATGAAATCAGAAATATTATCGAAATATCAGTAAAATATCAGAAATATTAGGAAAAAAGGTTCTCAGAAAATTTTGTATTTTCACCTAGAAAAATGGAGATATTTAGGGAAAATTTGCCAAATATTACTGATATTGCAAACCATACCTGAATTGTGTATGGAGGTTATACACACACACAAACTTTGGGTTGGGTTGATCTAGCCTCAGTCAGGTTGGGATGGGCTGGATATCCCAAGTTGAACCACTAGAGATTAAGCAATGCCTCTACAACTATGGTTGGCAGACAGTGGTAAGTGATTTGTCAAGGAGTATGTAAAGAATGCTAGAGAGGAGAGCCACAAAGGCAGCTCAACTAAGTCAAATTTTGATAGTTGCAGCTAGGGGTGAGCAAATGGGTTGGTTTTACCTAGAACCGAATGAAACCAACTCTGAACCAGCTTTGGACCAATCGTATCCAATCTGTTTCTGGGTAGGGTTTCGTTCCAAGAAAGGATTCAAAACATTGCAACGTATCGAGGCATATCGGTCGATACATATCGTAAGCTTCCTCATTAAACTGAGGGACTGTTTACTTATCAGTCCTAGTGATTTAGAATGATGGACATGATGGGCCGCAAAGGTCGAACAGGGTGCCTACACGCAACCCAAAGTATGTAGACTAAAAACCTTCATGCATGGCCCATGCAAACCAGCCCATCATGCGTGGCCCATGCAACGGCCCAGTAGAGCAGGAATCGGTCAAGAAGGTCAGGGTGCTAGCCACAAGAATCGGTCAAGAAGTTAGGTTGTTAAGTTGTTGATTGTTAGTTGGTCTTAGCATGAGAATCGGCCAAATAAGTTAGTTTGTTATTCTTGTTAAGTTGTTAGTATGAGATGGCATAGGGATCAGCCATGTAGTTAGAAGTCTAATCCCTTACTTTGAGGCTATCTCAGTGGTAGGAAGTTAGAACTTTTTGTATTTAAACACCATCCCACCACATGGATGGGGCAGTTGGAAGTTAATAAACTCTTGTGGTCTTATTCTYTCCCTAAGCAGAATACTCTATCACTCTAACTTTGACTGTGACCTATCATTGGTATCAGAGCTAGGCACCATGGCCACTAACAAAGAAAGAATTGAGAGTTTGGAAACTGGGCTCGGGGGACTCCAAGCAAATTTGAGCTGGCTTGAGTTAGGGGTTAATGACAAGTTACATCAGCTCGAGGCAGCTATTAATAGGATGTTCGAAGTCTTGTTGACTCGGAAGGAACCATCTCTGAGCCACGCTAATGGTCGCAGCGGACAGTCCTCCTCCAGACCTTCTCGTGACAGCACAGAAGGAGGACAACCCATGTTCTCCTCGAAATTAGCCAAGCTCGAGTTTCCCAAGTATTCCGGTGATGACCCAACCAAATGGTTTGCCCGTGTTGACCAGTTCTTCGAATACCAGCACACTGAGGAACCACAGAAAGCATCGCTTGCCACATTCCATTTGGAAGGGGAGGCAAACCAATGGTGGCAATGGTTACGTCGGGCTTATCACGAAGACGGGAAGGAGGTAACATGGAAAATTTTTGTAGATGAGCTATGGGCTCGTTTCGGCCCAACAGACTGCGAAGACTTCGATGAGTCGTGATAAAAAATACGACAAACGGGGTCTCTGCGGGAATATCAGAAGGAGTTCGAAAGATTGGGCAATAGGGTGCACGGATGGACCCAAAAGGCGTTGGTGGGCACGTTCATGGGAGGTCTCAAAATGGACATAGCCGATGGAATTCGGATGTTCAAACCGAAATCCTTGAAGGAAGCCATAAGCCTGGCACGAATGAAGGACGAACAACTGCGTCGTCATGAGAAGACTCTGCATTCAGCCACCAGAGCCGCCGGCGAATCTTTCCCGACAAAGACGAAGACGACTCCACCATTGAAACGTCTTTCTTGGACAGAAATGCAGAGGCGGCGTCTTCAAGGTCTATGCTTCAATTGCGACGAGAAATTTTGGCTTGGACACAAATGCAAGGGACCGCAGCTGCTACTACTCGCCGGAGACTGTACCAATGACGCACCAGAAGATGACGAACAAAGCTTCACCGACCTGCACAAGGAGCCTGAAATCTCACTCCATGCCCTTACGGGATGGTCGACGGCTAGAACCATGTGTGTCATGGCCAAGGTAGGATCCCACGAGCTGATTGTTCTTATCGATAGTGGATCCACCCATAACTTCATCAACGACCGAATAGCCGAACTGCTGCACTTACCGGTCGTGCCTACCGAGCCCTTCAATGTCAAAGTAGCCAATGGCGAACCCCTTAAGTGCCGAGGAAGATTTGAAAATGTGCAAGTCTTGCTACAAGGTATCCTGTTCACCTTAACACTTTATTCTTTACCACTGATTGGGTTGGACATGGTACTAGGAATCCATTGGCTCGAACAATTGGGCACAGTGGCGTGTGATTGGAAGAAAATGACGATGGAGTTCTCTTGGGCCAACCAACACCGGCTGTTGAAGGGGGTCGACAACCAACCAATTCAGCCTGCATCCTTCAAAGCACTCTCAAAGGGGATTAAGCAGGGACATTCGCTATTTACCGTCTATCTCCAAGCAGTCACGGAAGAAGTACCACCCCAACTACACTCGGATATACAACAATTACTAGCCGAATTCAAAGATCTCTACCAAGAGCCCACACAACTGCCACCACAGAGAGAGATCGACCACCGCATCAATCTCAAAGAAGGAATGGAACCCGTCAATGTCCGCCCGTACAGGTATGCCTACTTCCAAAAAGCTGAAATAGAAAAACAAATACAAGACATGTTACAGTTGGGGCTAATACGATCTAGCACAAGCCCCTTTTCTTCCCCTGTCTTGCTGGTTAAAAAGAAGGATGGGACTTGGCGTTTCTGTACTGATTACCGAGCACTCAATGCCGTGACCGTTAAGGATCGGTTTCCTATCCCAATGGTTGACGATATGCTAGATGAACTACATGGAGCCTCCTTTACTAAACTTGATTTACGATCCGGATACCATCAGATACGGATCCACCCACGGGACATTCATAAAATGACATTTCACACACACAATGGTCACTATGAGTACTTGGTTATGCCCTTTGGCCTGTGTAATGCACCTTCCACCTTTCAGGCTATTATGAATTCTGTCTTCCGCCCCTATCTCTGAAAGTTTGTGCTAGTTTTCTTTGATTATATTCTTATTTATAGTCCCAACTGGAGCATGCATCTTGAACATGTTAGAACAGCTTTTGAGGTTTTAAGGCATCACCAATTTTTTATCAAGTTTAGTAAATGTATATTTGGCCAGCTAGAGGTGGAGTATCTGGGTCACATTGTCACTTCCCTAGGGGTCAAGGTAGACCAAGGGAAAATTGAGGCTATGCTTAAATGGCCTCAACCCACTCATATTACTGACTTGCATGGCTTCTTAGGTCTTATAGGATATTACAGGAAGTTCGTCCGCAACTATGGGATCATAGCTCGACCCCTCACTAATCTTCTCAAAAAGGGTGAATTCCACTGGACCACCGAAGCCCAAGAGGCATTTACAGCCTTAAAGAAAGCAATGACCACAACCCCCACACTAGCAATGCCTAATTTTGAGGAGCCTTTTATCATCGAGTCGGATGCTTCTGGGGCAGGTATTGGAGCAGTATTGACGCAACAGGGACGACCCATAGCATTCATGAACCGAGCTCTAGGCGTCAACAAACAAACTTGGTCCACCTATGCCAAAGAGATGCTCGCCATTGTTCAGGCAATACGAACATGGCGACCTTACTTGTTGGGCCGAAAATTTTACGTCCAGACCGATCAGCGCAACCTCAAGTATCTCTTGGAGCAACGCATTGGGACACCAGAACAATAGAAATGGGTGTCCAAACTGCTCAGGTACGACTATGAGATCATTTATAAGCCTGGACGGGAAAACTCTACTACAGATGCTCTATCTAGAGTACTAGGCAGTCCTAGCCTTAATACTCTATGCCTCAAACATCTCTGTGGGACACAATCAAGAAAGAAGCCAGAACCCATCCCTACATGATCCGCATCGGCAAGCTTGCAACAGAGAATCCTGGAGTTCCCTACACATGGAAGAATGGACTGGTATGTCACAAAAACCAGGTCATGATCCCTCCTCGGTCCCACCTCATCCCTACCCTCTTACAAGAATTTAATGACTCCCCATATGGTGGACACTCGGGGGTACTAAGAACATACAAGCGTATGGCACAACAGTTCTATTGGCCCTCCATGTATAAAGATATTCAACAATATGTTGCCTCTTGCGTCATTTGTCAAAAAAATAAGGCGGACACACTATCCCCGGCAGGCCTGCTACATCCATTACCTGTTCCCTGCCAAGTATGGGACGACATTACCATGGACTTTATAGATGGTCTACCACCCTCCAAAGGCAAAACCACTATTTTTGTAGTAGTAGACCGTCTCACTAAATCAGCTCATTTCTTGACCTTACCACACCCCTATACGGCGAAATTAGTAGCCGAAAGGTTTGTAGAAGGAATTGTGAAGCTCCACGGTATGCCAAAGACGATCGTTAGTGACAGAGATCCTATCTTCGTCAGCCATTTTTGGCGGGAATTCTTCAAGATGTCCAGTACCAAATTGCAGATGAGCTCTGCCTATCATCCCCAGACTGATGGGCAGTCCGAAGTGGTCAATCGTTGTCTAGAGTAGTATCTTCGTTGCTTTGTTTTCCAGCAACCTCGGAAGTGGAGCTCCTTCCTCCCATGGGCAGAATTTTGGTATAACACCACCTACCATTCCTCTATTGGAATGACGCCCTTTCAGGCCCTTTATGGAAGACCACCACCTCGTATTCTAAATTACCAAGGTGGAACATCCCTGGTAGAAGAAGTAGATCAAGCCATGCTTTCTCGAGATGCCATTTTGCAACAACTCAAAAAACCTACATGCAGCAATTAATTGCATGACCCAAATGGCTAACTCTAAAAGAAGAGACGTGGAATTCCAGGTGGACGATCTGGTCTTTCTCAAACTCCACCCGTACCGACAGCAGACTGTTCATAGGCGAGCCTATCACAAGCTGGCCAGTCGCTATTATGGGCCATACCAAATTGAAGAACGAATCGGCAAGGTGGCCTATAAACTTCGACTTCCCGAGGGCTCGCGTATCCACTCAGTTTTTCACATTTCCCTACTCAAAGGACAGGTGGGCGAAACCATTGCCACTAGCACTGAATTACTGCCCATAAACGAGGAGGGAGAACTTGTCACAGAACCAGCAGCCATTCTGGATACCCGTTGGGTGAAGAAAGGATCCACCTTCATGGAAGAAAGCCTCGTCCAATGGAAGAACCTTCCCAACGAAGATGCCCCATGGGAGAATTCTTAAGAGTTGCGCGAGAAGTACATAAATCTGGACCTTGAGGACAAGGTCTATCTGCAAGATGGGGGCAATGATGGGCCGCGAAGGTCGAACATGGTGCCTACGCGCAACCCAAAGTACGTGGACTAAAAACCTTCATGCATGGCCCATGCAAACCAGCCCATCATGTGTGGCCCATGCAACGGCCCAATAGAGCAGGAATCGGTCAAGAAGGTCATGGTGCTAGCCACAAGAATCGGTCAAGAAGTTAGGTTTTTAAGTTGTTGATTGTTAGTTGGTCTTAGCATGAGAATCGACCAAATAAGTTAGTTTGTTATTCTTGTTAAGTTGTTAGTATGAGATGGCATAGGGATCAGCCATGTAGTTAGAAGGCTAATCCCTTACTTTGAGGCTATCTCAGTGGTAGGAAGTTAGAACTTTTTGTATTTAAACACCATCCCACCACATGGATGGGGCAGTTGGAAGTTAATAAACTCTTGTGGTCTTATTCTCACCCTAAGCAGAATACTCTATCACTCTAACTTTGACTGGGACCTATCAGGACACTTTTCAAAATAGAAACTTAAGGCCCCATTTTGTAGAAGTACAATGCACCAATTCACCAACCATCAAGGTACACTTGAATGTTGTGCAGATGGGTGGCAACTTCCTTTCACTCTTACCAAGGATTTTAATTTATTTTTAATTTAATTAGGTTATAGCTTGGTTGATGTTTCTTTTTGTTTTAGTTTAATAAAGTCATCATTTTCTATACTCAAGATTGATGTCATATGCATGATTTTATGCTCTTATTACTGATTTGCTTGTGGTTGAGAATACTCATTTCTCAGATATTTTAATTCCATATCTTTCAGATTTTCGTTGTGAGGTTGGATTTGTTGTTAAGTCAGTTGATAATCTTGTGGAGCCCAATGATTTCATGAATTTCACAAAATTTACCATGACGTATATTGATAGGAGAGGAAAGATCTCATAGCCATGATGCCTTTGAAGCCAGATTTGGAGGACATCAGACCCTTGAAGAAAGAGAGGAATCCTTATATGCAAGAAATCAAACACTTCACTATGGCTGTGTCAAAGGACCAGAGGGATCCCCAAGCACTCGGTTTGTTGCTGCAGTTGTGGGTGATGGAGTTAAATCTGAAGATGTGTTACATTATTCAAGAAGATTTTTTTTATATGCCTTGTATTTTTTTTATTTGTCAATTGGATGTTGTATTTAAGCAATTTCTTTTGGATATTATAATAATTAATAATTTAATTAATTTTTTTATTTTTAATTTGCATTTTTTATTTAAATTGATTTTTATGTATTATCTGCCATGAGATCTATTTTAAACAGGTACTAAAAAAATGTTGAAACCAAATTCAAATAAAAAAAAACCAACAAAGTCGGCGGTCATACATCTGCCGCCTTAGATATAAAAAAGATCTAAGGCGGCGGTCTAAAGAGTTCTAAGCTGGCAGTCTGAACCGCTGCCTAAAAATGGAAGTAATAGTTTGGCTGACCTAAGGTGGCAATCCATAGAGTTCTAAGCCGGCAGTCTAGACCGCCACCTAAAAATAGAAACAACGGTTTGACCGACCTAAGGCAGCGGTCTAGATAGTTCTAAGCCGGCGGTTTGAACCGCCACCAAAAACAGTTTGACCAACCTAAGGCAGCGGTCCTGACCACCATCTTTATTTACTCTAGGCCGGCAGTTATGACATACCACCACTTTAGGAGTGATTGAACCGCGTCGAACCAGTTCTCAAAGGCAGCGGTATTTTTAGGCTAACGCGGCGGTCTTGACCTAGGCCGGCAGTGGTTTAAGGGGCGGACTCAAGACTGCTGCCTTACCTCTAAGGCGGCGGTCTAAATGGCTAAGCCGGTGGTCTTATGATTGCCGCCTTTGACCTTTTTTCTTGTAGTGTCTATATGCTAGAAACACCTAAGACTCCAATTGGATGCACAAAACCTATGGAAAACAACTAAAAATCGAGGAAAATTTTTGCATCAAGAAGGAAAGGTTGACTATAAACCTTTTCCACTTGCAAATCTATTACCTTTTTCATGAAAGTACTATCTTGAAACCCAAGTTTTGTGATTGGTTGAAGTTGCAGACCTATTTCTTCTCGCTTATTTCTATAAAAGGGATGTAACCAAATAGAGAAGAGAGGAGAAATGAGCTGGAAGAAAGGGACCTAAACTTAGCACCCTTCTCTTAAAGTTACTATGGTATCCCAACTTGGGAGAAGATTCCCAACTTCCTTTAGACTTGGTTTGGGATGATGTTATCGGAGTTGGGTACTAGTTTCCCTAAATCCCTTACCTCTATACCTCATTCTTCAACCTTAATATATATTTGGAATGAACTAAAAGAAACTAAAGAAACAAGTTGAAGAACTTACTTTTTGAATAATATAACCTTGATTGTTATTACCTAGTAGCTAGAACAAGATAAAAGTGGTATTCTATGCAAGGTTGGAGCTAGTAAGATGCTTCCAATTGACTTCTTAGGAAAAGGGATAGGGGTTCAAGTTGTGTCATTAGAAGAAAGCTTTTTTGGGAAATTTGAAAGCATAAAAGCTCAAGACTTGGTGGTTTCTTGTAAGAAAACAAAAATGAGGGTACTATAGAGGTTGGGAATGCTTTCAACTTGTCCTCCTCTCTTTTGGGATCAGTTTAGGTCCCTTTTATGGAAATAAGAGGAAAAAAACATTTGAATTTTAGCCAATCATAAAACTTAGGTCTTAAGAGAATGTTTTCATGAAAAAGGTAAGAGATTTTTAAATGGATAAGGTTTGTAGTCAACATTTCCTTCTTGGTACAACATTTTTCCTTGATTTAGGATTGGTTTTTCCATGGTTTTTTACATTTAATGAGAGTCGTCGGCATGTCTAACACAAAGGTTTGTATTTAGGGCTCTTAATGGCATAAAATGTGAATTTCATTTAACCACAATTGTCATTTTGTCTTTTTCCTAACTTTAAGTGGGCTATCTTTAGGTTTTTTTAGGTTTTCTAATTCTACTAGGCTCAATATTATTGGTCTAAGTATTTTAATAGGTAAAGTGTAAGGCTAACATCATCCTTCACCTTCTTAAGGTTTCATGTTAGGATAGATGAAGGGGCAATTTGGCATATTGGGGTATATTGGGGCTTTTGGGTCTCTACACATGGTAATGAGGTTTGATTAGTCGAATGAGGTTTGGATGATGGAGATTTATCACTAAAAATCTCTAATAAATGAAATGTATTAAAATAGAATCTTGACTTGATAATGGGTTAAATAAAGGAATCTAGTGGTGAAATTTGGTGGATAGGCATTTTTGAATGTCCTAAATTTGATGAAAGAGACAAATCTTTAATCAAAAGTGTGAGTTAAAAGATTTTGTTTAGATCAAGGATTTTAGCTTATGGGTCATCAACAAATGAGACAACTTGATACAAAACCTTGCTTATTTAATGGTCAAATGGAGAAATTATGTCGTAAAATTTAATGTATTAGGGTTCTTTTGGGTTTCTAAATATGGTGGTGAGGTCTAATTGGTTGAATAAGATTTGGATGATGGAGACCTATGGCTAATAAGCTCTAACTATTGAGATTTGCTAAATTAGCTTAATAGTAGGTCAAATGAGGGAATCTTGGGGTAAATTTTGGTGGATAGGCATTTTTAAATATCCTAAATCTAATGGAAAAGATGAAACTTTAATTATGGGTGTGGATTGAAGGATTTGGTTCAAATCATGGTTTTAGCTTATAACTCATCAACAATTAAAAGACTTAAAATGAAATCTTGTTTGTTTTGAAAGAAAATAAAGGAATTTAAGTTTGAAATTGGATAGGTGGATTGTTTTGAGGATTTTGGAGTTAATGAGAGTAGTTTGGTTTATTGGGTTATAATTTCTTGTATGATTTAATCATAAACTTAAATTGCAATGTTTGTTGATCAAATGATTAAATAAGGAAAATTTTTAAGATAAAATTTGTCTTGTGGGCATGGATTAAGATGAGGAGTTGGATGGAATGTTCAAATTTAAGGAAGAATTTGTTGATCTTGGTTATCTAGTTTTATTCATTCAATATTGTCAAAATGAAATCTTACTATTTTTAAAGTTAATCATCGTAGATTTAAGGTGAGATTTGGAGGTTGATTGTATCTTAGTATTCTTGAGGCAATGGATGTGTCAAATTTGATTTTATGTTGAGGATTGGATATTGAATATGTTAGGATCATAAAAAAAATTAGTATGATGAAAGGTGGATCTTTAGAATTTGGTCATGAAATTCAATGTGCAACTAAGTTTTAGTTTTCTAAGTCTAGGGATTATGTTTGGTTAGTATGCTAAAGCCTATGTAGTGTCAAATGTTGATTCAATGTTTTTGCTAATTAATAGCCAAGTTTATTGTTGTAGCCTAGTTAGGTGTTTGATGTGATGGATTGTGCTAAAGAGAGGGAATTTTGGGTTTCGGAAAGTCTAAAGTTGATCTGGTAACATTTCCAAGATTCAAGGTCTTAATAGAGAGTATAAATAGGTAAGGTGAAGGAACTAGGCAAAAATTGGGTACTACCACCTATCTTAACTCCTATGGTTAGGCCTAAGCTACAATAAGGTGTTTGTTGAAACATTTCTACTTAAACCCAAGACCTTGGAGATAAATTGCCAAAATTGGAAAGTTGTATTTAACCCTATATTTGGTAATGATACTATACAAAGTGTTGGACTCAGCTACTTTTGATGTGCCAACTAGTAAGATCCCCTAAGGGTTAAATACTTATGTATGCTACAATAGTTTGGAATATCACTTGAGTAGGTAACCATTTTGATAGGACCATCCACTTTGTATGTTAAAGAGAATATCTTGGTTAACAATCTCTGATAGAAACCTAAAAGTGGTAGTAGTGGATTTCAATATGTTTTGTAGTTAAATTACAAAATGTATTTATACTTATAAATAACTTATCTTATTAAAGGGTTTGCAAAAGGTTTTAAACGCAGGATCCATCAGAGCAAAGTGTGTGACAATGCATTTTACAATCAAGAAAGATGTCCTTTCCTATGAGTAGTGTATTGTAATAGTTTGGAATATCCACTTGAGTGAGTGACCATTGTGATAAGATCTCCCACTTTGTTAAATAAAGAGAATATCCTAGTAACAAATCTCTAATAGAAACCAAAAATTGCTAGTGAAGAGGTCCTTCCCTATGAGCAATGTGTTGCGGTAGTTTGAAATATCACTTGAGTGTGTGACCACTATGATAGGATCATCCACTATGTCAAATAACAGGAATATCTTGGTTAGCAATCTTTAATGGAAACCAAAAAGTGCCAATAGTGGATTTCAATATATTTTGGAGTCAATTTACGAAATGTATTTATACTAAAAAATAATTTATTTTATGAAAGGGTCTGCAAAAAGTTTTAAACCCGGGATCCATCTGAGCAAGGAGTGTGACAATGCATTTTATAATCAAGAAAGAGGTCCTTCCCTATTAGTAGTGTGATACAGTAGTTTAGAATATCCACTTGAGTGACCATTGTGATAGGATCGTCCATATTGTCAAGTAAAGAAAATATCCTGGTTAACAATCTTTGATGGAAACCAAAATCTTCCAGTAGTGGATTTCAATATGTTTTGGAGTCAATTTGTGAAATGTATTTTTACCTATAAATAATTTATTTTATTAAAGGGTTTGCAAAAGGTTTTAAACCCATAATTCATCTAAGCAGAGAGTGTGACACTGCATTTTACAGTTAGGGAAGATGTCATTCCCTGTAAGAAATGTACTACAACAGTTTAGAATATCACTTGAGTACGTGACCATTGTGATAGGATCATGCACTTTGTCAAATAAAAAGATTATCATAGTTAACAATCTCTAATGGAAACCTATAATTTCTATTATTGGATTTCCATGTGTTTTGAAGTCAATTTTCAAAATGTATTTAAACTTATAAATATTTTATTTTATGAAGAGGCCTGCAAAAGGTTTTAAACCCAGGATCCATCTGAGCAGAGAGTATGTCATTGCATTTTACAATCAGAGAAGAGGTCATTATCCATGAGTAGTGTATTGTAGTAATTCAGAATGTCACTTGAGTGTGTGGCCACTATGATAGGATCAACTTTGTCAAATAAAGAGAATATTTTGGTTAACAATCTTTGATGGAAACCTAAAATTACTAGTATTGGATTTCAATATGTAAAATGTATTTGTACTGATAATTAGTTTATTTTGTGAAAGGGTTTGAAAAATGTTTTAAACTTAGGATCCATCTTAGTAGAGAATGACACTGCATTTCACAATTAGGGAAAATGTTCTTTCCTATGAGTAGTGTATTGATATTATAGGTTAAGAGTTTAAGAGGAAAAGTCTTTTGGGGCTGAAACTTGATGGGCTTTTTCCTCACATTAAACCATTGTTCTTGATGTTCATAGGTGGCTAAAGCCCAAAGCCTACTTATGTTTGCGTTGGGCCGATCCCTAGCCCAATAAGATTGGGTAGGTGGTTCACTAGTGAATCTGGCCCATGTAATTCATTGCATGGGATGAACCAGCATGGTTTATTGAGAAGGCTTAGTTGGTCCCATGCCATATAAGAATGAGGTAAGTGAACTAGTCCATGGTGTGAGCAAAAATAACTTGAGATTTTAACGCAATTACATGTGAGATTAGTTTGACTAGGAAATAAGATAGTTGCATAATTTGGTTTCTCACTTGATTCTAATAAAATTAGGACTCTTTCGTAATTAGAAACTTGTATTTCAGTTCAAAGCCTGATTTAGAAACTCCTTGTAGGACTCCAAGAGTTTCTCTCTTTAAATGATAGAGAATAGGAGAGTTATGAGAGGGATTATCACTAGGGGTGATCATTTCAGCCTGACCCGGCCTGGCCTGCACAAGCCCAGCCTGGAAATTCCGGACTTGGGCCTGGGTTTTGTGTTCAGGCCTGGCCCGGGCCCAGGCCCACATCAGGCCCGCAAATTTTAGGGCCGGGCTTGGGCTTAATACTTCAAGCCCGGCCCACATATACTTAAACTTACACATTTTGTGTATAATGTATACATATGTATACATGTTATTTTACATTATATTATATATTTTATATATAAATATTATAACATGATATGTATAATTTATATTATATCTAATATTTTATATTATATAATGTATAAAATAAGTTTATATACATGTTATGTCATTTAATATATAGATATGTAATATTTTATATATGAGTGACATTAGCCCAGAATCAGGCCTAGCCCAGCCCAGAACCCCGGGCCCGGGCCTAAGTTATAGCCTTTATCATAAGTGCAAAACTTGGCCCGGGCCCGGCTTGGCCCAGCCCATGATCACCCCTAATTATCACCAAACTTTCGACCACCAAACCCTAGTTCGACTAAGGCCGAAGTAGAGAGATATTTTTCTTTTTCTCATTGAGTTTTCTAGCAACAGCACAGTTCTCAAGTGATTAACAATTACATTCAATAGGATATCAAGAGTTCACATCGATATACACAAAAAGACTAGATCGAGTTCTTGCAATTGGGGCTGCAATATTTTCATACTTGGGCATGTCTCACCACTTTGGGAGCTGCAATTGTGATATCCACATTAGGTAACATCCTTACTTTGATCTCGACATCAAATTTTGATTGATCAATTCTAGATCGATCTTAGGAGAAAATTGTTTCTCCATGGAAATTTTGAATTCTCTTCTTTGGCTGATTCAAGACTTGATTTTTACACCAATTAACCCAACAAGGTTTGCCCTTTTTGGGCTTAAATCAGTCCACATAACACTCTCAGGTAGATCCGATCCATTGACATCCCTACAAAAATTAGAAGAAAACAAGGAGCCGAATTTATTGTTAATTATATAATCGGTCTGGATTTGAATTTGTTCAGAACATACAAAAACCAGAACCAACGGGATAGAATTGTGGCCAAACCGAGCCAAATATTTTGATATTCGAACTTGGGCTTGACAAAAGAAGAAAAAAAAAAAACATCAGGGTCAAGAAATCATACATATAAATTATTATATAAAAATGAAAATTATTATATATAATATATTTTTAATTAGGTTTGCGATCTTTAGGAACCGAGCTCGATCAAATAGCATAAAACTCAGTTAGTGTCCACTGATAAAACTCACACCCATTGACAACTCTATCTGGAATAGGCCCATGACAAATGGACTACTTTTTAATAACTTTATTGAGACCTATTATTCCGGGCTGTTCTTCCGCTGATTCCGGTGGTTGGTCTTCTGAAACCTGTTTATTATTTATTTCTTATTTGACTTTGGACACAAATTGACATCTTTTTCTATCACATTTTGCTCGGCTCATTCACCTAATCCCCTTACGACATTTTCACTCTCTTCAAACTAAAAAATTAACTCCAAGATACAAGCTAGTTATCTGACCTGTTTTCTACCCGAAAGGTCTACTTTTGAAAAACACAAAACAAAAAGCAAAAGCTTCAAAAGATAGCATCTTTCTTTTCTAAGAACTTCAATGGAGGAATCGGTCTCCTGCCCAGAAAGGTTGATGTCCATTGCTCCTCCAAATTAGGCTTAATTATGCTCTAACTTGCTTGCTCTCTTCCTTTGCCTAATCCAACTACAAATGCTTAAATAGAAAAATTGCACAACAGATGTTTTCAACATACTTCCAAAGCCATTCAATATTCTCTAATATATAGTATTAGAGAGAAAGAGAGAGATGATGATATTTGTATAATAATTTACGCGTAAATATAATGTAATAAAGGGCCCACAAGAACAAATATGGCAATCATTAGAGAACATGGGTGCCACCCACAACGACTCCCAACCAATTTATTATATGAGTTGTCAAGTAGTTGTACTCACGCGGATGCTATAGACCAAATAGACACTTTTGAATTAACCTCCACCAAGATAGACAGAGAGCTGTGTCCATGGTCGTCCCCAAGCTGCAGCAAACAGCAGGCCGAGGCCGGGGCCGGGGCCGGGGCCATGGCGCCATTGTTATTGTTATTCTTGTGGTGCTCTTCATGTGCAGGGCTGCTGATAGCAAACAAAGTGCATATCTGAATCAAGTAATTATAAGCCAGTTCTTAACGCCGCACAATGCGGCTCGGTCGGCATTACAGCTACATCCATTGGTGTGGGATCCTCACGTAGCCCATTACGCAGAGTGGTATGCGAGGCGAAGGCGCTGGGACTGTGCTTTGGAGCACTCCAACGGGCCTTATGGAGAGAACATATTCTGGGGAAGCGGCGACGACTGGACCCCAGCTCAGGCGGTTGCGGATTGGCTGTCGGAGAGGAGGTGGTATGATCGGCGGAGGAATTCGTGCGCCTGGGACCGGGAGTGTGGGCATTACACGCAGATCGTGTGGAATAGCACCAGGAGGGTTGGGTGTGCCAGAGTCCTTTGCTTTGGTGGTAGAGGCGTTTTCATTACTTGCAACTACGATCCGCCTGGCAATTACATTGGTGAAAGGCCTTATTAATGTTTCATGACTTTCCCACAACGGCATTCAGGTCACCACATTTATGAGATTAGAATTTGTGCTTCCTACTGCTTCTTTTTAAGCTAATCCATCGGGTGTGGGTGTGTGTTTTATTCTCTCTCTCTCTTCCTTGATTGAATGCTAGCTATAAATGTGGTCTGTCTTCTGCATTTTTTCCTTCGTACTACGAGTTATAAATGAAAAGTCACCCTGACAAAGTTCCCTACGACTCTTAAATGATAAATATTAGAAACAATGATTCTGGAGTTTAACTTTTCTTTTTTGTAAAGAATAATTTTCATTACAAGAACCAAAAAACAAATCAAAACAACTCCAAGCCAGACACAACGTGAAAAAGTGAGTGTTGCTTTTTGAAAAAACATGATGGGTGAAGAGTGTAAAGTTTTATATGGATAAAATCTATGTAGTATTTACATTGATGTAAAACTTTATGTTTAATAGGTTTTGCATTGATTATCCACGTAAAACTCCATTCCATTCAAATTTAAGCAAAACTAAACTGGATTGGAGTTTTATGTTGATCATGATTACACTCTCCTTCTAAACGTGGACAGAATCAAACTGGTGTAAACTTTTACACCGTTCTTGTTTTACACAGACTCCAAATGCACCCAAACCAACGTTGTCCATGCTCAAAAAAAGGCGAGCCACTCGGGGCAAATGCCATAAGAAAACAAAATAAAATAAATAAAATAAAAGACAACTTCACCAGAGTAATGAGCCCCTTTTAGCGAGATAGGATTAGCTGATTAATAACTGCTTAGCTTACAACCAGAGTAACGAGCCCCTTCTAGTGAAATAGGATTAACTTATTGCAATAGCTGTTCAGAAAACCGTGGAACTTGTTGCTGCCAAATCTGGAGTTGAGGGTAGCAACATAATTTTCGAGGCCAAGAGTCGAGAGCCAAGGGTCCAACACGTCAAAGGCCCTGGGAGTATTCTAGGGGTGAGGACTCTAACGGTGAAGTTAGCCGAGAGTCGAGAGCCGAGGGTTCAACACGTCAGAGGCCCTAGGAGTATTCCAGGGGTTAGGACTCTAACGGTTAAGTTAGCCGAGAGCTGGGAGAAAGTCGAGGTCACAACAAGAGAGTATAGTAGAAAACTCAAATGTGTGTAAGGGAACCTTTAGACTTTGGTGCCCTTTTATAGTTGGAGTCACCCAGGAGAGGAGTAATAGGTAATCGGTAACCATCCCATGAATCTTAGTAATGAACAAGGTTGTAATAAGGATGACAGCCAAGCATTAACCCTTCATAAGTGTGTTGGGAGTAAGTGTGGCTGAGAACGTGACACCTGTAGTAAATGCCCCACAGTAATGACCCATTGGAGTTACAATACCACCCTTAATCGAGGTCAAAATGGAAAAAATGCCCTTGAGTGGTGCCACGTGTCATCATCAGGTGAAATGGCCGATTATACCCACATCACGTGCCCCCCACTCTCGAGGCCAAGGCCAAGGCCAACGATAGTGTTTGATTATATGTTAAGGCTCGACCTCGACCGTTGAAAGAAGAGAGAAGTTCAAAAATCTTCTAAGTCCCAGGCCATCAGTGAGGTAGTGCTGTTTGGAAGGCTTGTGCGTCTAACGTCAAGCGGTCGTGAGTAGGATGGCTATGCGCGTCTATTATTGGACGGTCGTAACTGGGATAGATGCATGCCTCTACTATCATATGGTCGTGACTCGGATGGGCGTGTGCATCTACTGCGATGTGGATATAACTAGCCATTTCCCCAGATGACGACATGTGGCACCACTCAAGGGAATTTCTTGCCATTCCGACCTCGGTTAAGGGAAATATCATAACTATCACAAGTCATTCTTGTGGGACATTTACTACAAGCGTCATGTTCTCGGCCACACTTACTCCCAACGCACTTATGAAGGGGTAACACTCAGTCGTCATCCCTGTAACATCTGTATTCATGAATGAGATTCACTGAATGGTTACGGACTACCTATTACTCCTATCCCGGTCAACTCTAGCTATAAAAGGGCACCAAAGTCTAAAGGTACACTTATGCACACTTGAGTTTTATACTAAACCCTCTTGTTGTGACCTCGACTTTCCCTCAACTTCTCAGCTAACTTAATTTCTGGAGTCCTTGCCTTGGAAACACTCCCAAGGCCTTGTTGGAAGGGTTATGATCCATCATACGGATGGCCGAACCATGCTAGATGGATGGGAGAAATTTCAAAAATTTTCTAATCCTTCCAGGAATTGAATTCCCTATGTTTTGAAAAACTGCATTCTTTAGGATTGGTCTTGCACTGAACTAGACCAAATTTGAAACTAACCAAAGAGGGAGAAGTATACCTGATATGGATACCACAAACGCAGATCCCAAGGTGGAAGTTCATGCCCAAATCAGTCCTAAAACCAGCCTCCACTGAATATGGCACAGTGTAGTCCTGAAGCTGGTTCAGTAACTCAGTTTTCAACAAAACTTCAATCCAGCAGCATGAAATTCTTCTGGATTTTTCTTGCAAGAAACAGAAGAAGACTGATCTCTATCAGTCCCAAATAGTTATAGTCGAACTAGGGTTTCTTGGGAGACAAAAAGAAGAAGAGAAAGAGCAGAATAGAGAGGTGTTCTTGTTCAATTCGCCCTCTTCTTCTTTTATCTCTTTATGGAGCACTTCTCCTAATCAAATTAGGAGATTATCCAAATCTAGTTTGGATTTGGACTCTATTAATAGATAAGCCTTATTCTCTAAAGAGGATGGGGGCTCCATACCCATTTCTAAACCCAAATTCGCCCAATATCACATGACAACTTAAATTGTCATGTAACAACTTAATTACTCATATTAATTATGGACCTTAGGCCCATTAGCTATAAGGCACATGACCCAAGAGTGTTGCATGGCCAACTTAGGCCTGATTTGTATGATGTGCGACCCCACAATGACCTCCCATAAGTCCACATGGGTTCGGCCCAACCTTTGTTAAAAGGCCTGGCTATTCACTGCTAAACGCAATGAACCCCTAAGCACATCACTATGGGCGCAAAATGAGCCCAACATTTACACTTAAATGATCCTTGAATTCAAGCATCCTATGAAAACCTAAGGATAATAGACTTAAGTAAGATAAAGCCCATCAGGTAACCAGCCCTGTAATGGTCTCTAACACTTAACCTCCTGGCCCATAACGATCAGACACTACTCGACAGGGAATGACTTTTCCCTTGGCTGGAAGGTGCAGTGTCACACTCTCTACCTGGATAGATCTTGGGAATTAAAACCTTTTTGCAAACATTTTTTTCATAAAACATAATATATATCATATAAATATATTTTGCAAAACCAAACCTCAGACACAGTTGAAATTTACTACCGGCAATTTGGGAATTAAAACCTTTTTGCAAACATTTTTTTCATAAAACATAATATATATCATATAAATATATTTTGCAAAACCAAACCTCAGACACAGTTGAAATTTACTACCGGAAATTTAGGTTTCCATCAGAGAGAGTAAACCCTATCATTTACTTTGTCCGACAAAGGGGTCAATCCTATCACTATGATCACCCACTTAACTAAATTCTCAGACTGCCCCAACATACCCAAGTTTTGACCCTCAATGGATCTCACTACTTGGCATATCAAAGACAATCCAATCTGACACCTAATGCAGTACCATAATCAAGTCTAGGGGTTATGTGCAACTTTCCAATTTTGCCAATCAATCTCTAACGTCTAGGGCATAACTGGAAAATGGCCCGGGTTCAGTGTTTCAACCAAACACACACTACATGTGCTTTGGGTCTAAACCTAGCAGTCAAGACAAGCTACTCCAACTTCTTTGGAAGTACATCAGTATCAGCATTGGCAGCCCCAAGTCTATCCAACATCTGAGAACATTCTAAACTAAGATGAGTCTCATAAGTGTCCAGTTTAAGGGGTAATTTCACAGAAACATACCAATATCAACATGAACCAATAATGTACTTTTATTCATTTATAATAAATGTATTTGTACATCAATTTGATTGGAGCTAAGGTCATACACTATCTAATAGTTTTTGTTTGCACTTAGGTCCAATCGGGTACAAGCCTCAGTTCCATATTGTCTACGTTTTTCTCAAACACTTTCTGTGTCAGTGGCTTAGCCAATGGGTCTACCACATTCTCCGCTAATGCTACCTTTTGAATTTGTATGTCCCTTTGCCAATAATCTCCCGTAAATCCAGTGTTGTCACATAACAGTGGAACGGGTGATATGATAGGATTCCAAATTCCATGACAAATTTCTTCATCCATACTACTTATTAAGAAGCCTCACTTACGACAATGTTCTTGGCCTTGGTCGTGGAATATTTCTCTTACTACACAAGGTCCTAAAGCATCCAGATATAGACTTTCTATCATTTGGGTCAGGCTGGAAGTCAGCATCAGTATACCTGACCATCTGTAGTGAACTACCATTTAAGACAAGACAATAGCCTTTAGTCCTCCATAGGTACTTTAGTATATTTTTTACAACAATCCAATGCTCTTGTCCTATGTATGATTGGTATCTACTTACAACACTAACGACCTGAGCAATGTCTGGCCAAGTACACAACATAGCATACATGATGCTCCCTACGGCTGAGGCATAGGGAACCTTTCTCTTATCCTCAATCTCCTTAGGAGTCTTAGATGACATTCCTTCGGAGAGATTGACTCTATACCTAAAAGGAACGAATCACTTCATGGAGTTCTACATGTTATATCTGTTAACGATCTTGTCAATGCAAGTAGATTGAGATAATCCAATTATTCTATTCGATTTATCTCTATAGAGTCGAAGTCCCAAGATATAAGAGGTTTCTCCAAGATCTTTAAAGGAGAATTGCTGCAAAAGTCATACCTTCACCATAGTCAAAATTCCTACATCATTCCCAATGAGCAAAATGTCATTTACATACAGAATCATGAGTGTAACCTTATTTCCCACTATCTTTCTGTAAACACAGGGTTCATCCAGATTCTGCTCAAAATCAAATTGTTTAACTCTTGAGTCAAATCGGATGTTCTAGCTTCTAGAAGCATGGCCTCATGTGAGAAGGTCTCAAATTTTCCATTAGGGCCCTTCTTCCTCTT